AAAAAAAAATAAAAAGTCGAAATGGTATATAGAAAGGTAGGTTAGGTTAGGTTTTGTATTATGATTTCTACATTATAAACTGTGAACCCAAATTAATATAGTATACAGAAAGGTAGGTAATGTGAGGTTTTGTATTGTGCCTATTGCAATAAAAATTAAAGCCACAGGTCGAAATGGTATACTGAAAGTTACGTTTGGTTAGGATTTCTATTGCGACTCTTACAGTAGAAATTATGCCCTCAGAATAATATAGTAAACAAAAAGGTAGGTTAATCTCTACATTAAAAACTTGACCCTAGACTAATATAGTATACAGAAAGGTAGGTTAGGTTAGGTTTTGTATTGTGAACATTACAACATAAAGTTTTGCCACACTGTTACAATTTGAAGTCACATGAATGATTTCGTATCAAAACAGACAACTCTACTTGCCAACCAAGTCTATTCGAAAAGAAAACCGTCTTCACAAAAAAAATCAGCGACAACGCCTCGCGGGCCTCTTGAGGCCCGCGCACACACGCACCCTCTAGTTTATAAATAAAGATATTAGATGCAAGGAAGGGTGTTCATTGAGGGCGTTTAATAATATAGGGGTGTAATGTCGGAATGCAGTCGGCTAGCGGTATGCGATCTTTGTCTATAGCTGCTCTCGTTTGAAGAATGAAATGAGAAATTCCGTCGTGTCATCGCCTCCCCTCCCCCACCCCTACTGCGTGCCGTGCGTCACAGATTATTAACCCGATTCCATAGAATAGAAAATCATTTATTCAAATAAACTTAATTTAAGCACTTTTGAATAGTCATAACAATGTTTTTTTTAATCTACCGCTCATTTGGAAAGCTGTCTCATCACAAGAAGAACGAGCAAGAAATTCGTGTGTTGTTTTAAAATTTTTAGTTTCTATTTTTTTATGATACAACATACAAAAATACATACAATCTTAAATTTTCACCCTTCTATCATCAACCCCTATTTTTTTATAGCGTTATTAATTTATATGGCAATGTTTGCCGGGACAGCTAGTCTATATTCGACTCGTCTATATCGAGACTCGAACGAAACCTTATGTGAATAACAAAACATAAAAAAATATTGATTTCGAGTCGACAACATATATCCGCAAAATTCGGATTATGGAGTATTTCGTTAACATCTAATGACATATAAGTGCGTTAATTAATTTCGTTAACATCTAATGACATATAAGTGCGCATTTCTTCGGGCGTTGACGTTTCGCGGAAGTATTGTTTTTGACACTTTTTTTATGATAAAAGAGTGTGTGTGTGTTTTTTCTTTAAACCTGAAATTGGCCGATCGCGAGACAAATTTGGCAATTCTTTTTATTAATTTGTTTTACGGCTCTGGATACAAGTTTCTTTTAGCCCAACTTAAAGTTTTACAAAAAAATAAAAATTATTTGTATAAAAACTTTTGCACTTTTTATTTACTATATTTATTAAACACAATGAACGAAGCTTCACAAATCTATGCCTTGCTTACTTTTAATATTCCATGAGAACCGATGACTACAGAAATATCTACCCACATTTCACCCGAGCGAAGCCGGGTTTTCATCTAGTATTAATTATCTAGTATTAATAACTACTAATGCCGGTGTAGCTCTCATTAAATATATATTTGATTCTTGGGAGAGGTCTCAGGATGCAGTCGATGTATTATGTGATCTTTCAAAAGCATTTGATTGCGTTGAACATGAAACACTTTTGCTCAAACTTGAACATTACGGTATTAGATATGAAGCACAAAGCATGATGAAATCCTATCTAAATAATAGAATGCAAGTTGTTGAAATAAATGGTGTAAAGTCTGAGGGAACTAGTATTAAAATGGGTGTTCCTCAGGGCTCTATTTTAGGTCCTTTCTTATTTTTAGTTTACATAAATGATCTTCCTTATATGGTAGAAAAGATAGGTGACATAGTTCTTTTTGCTGATGATACTTCAATAGTATTCAAAGTCAATCGACATATCGATGATTTGGACGAAGTAAACGGTGCTCTCTCTTATGTTTTAAAATGGTTTACGGCTAATAATATGTTACTAAATGCAAATAAAACTAAATGTATCAAATTTACTCTCCCCAATGTAAGGCCGGTAGATTCGGACCGGAGCCGGACAATAAACTTATTAATTTTGTGGACGATACTGTATTTCTAGGTATCACATTAGATTCCAAGTTGCAATGGGGTGCTCATATTACTAAATTGGCGAGTCGACTTAGTTCTGCCGCTTATGCGGTAAGAAGAATTAAACAATTAACAGACGTGGCAACGGCTAAACTTGTGTACTTTAGCTATTTCCATAGCATTATGTCGTATGGTATTTTGTTATGGGGCAAAGCAGCTGATATAAATACAATATTTATTTTACAAAAGAGGGCCATTCGCTCCATTTATAGCATGGGTTCCAGGGAGTCTTTACGAGAGTGCTTTAAGAAATCAAATATCCTCACCGTTGCTTCTCAATATATTTATGAAAATATCATGTATGCCAGGAAGAATATAGACACTTTCAAAAGAGTTAGTGATTGCACTAATAAAAGCTTACGTAACAATAACAAACTGATTTTACCTATGTCGTTTGGCTAAAGTTAGTAATTCGTTTTATGGCAATTGCGTAAGGTTTTACAATAAAATACCAGAGTCTGTTATAAATCTGCCAGAAAAAAGATTTAAACGTCAAATAAAACACTTCCTTTGCAAAAAAGCATACTATAAAATTGAAGAATTCGTAAACGATAATAATGTTTTTGTAGAAAAAATTTAAATACATAGCACTGACAATATTATCTAATTACACTAATAATGAGTGCGTAGCGATTTCTATGTTGATTATCGCATGCCTCTTACTTGTTACACTGTAATTATTTATATAAAAAAACATCTATTAAAAAGAGCAACACACAAGTTTCTTGCTCATTCTTCTTGTGATGAATCTGCATTCCGAATGAGTGGTAGAATCAAAAGTGCTTGTAATGAGTTTATTTGAATAAAGATTATTTCTATTTCTATTATAAATAGCGAGTCATCCGCCCTTATCCCATTATTTCTTGGTGGGGATGCAATTACTGTAATGGTCGCTATATTATTTTAATATCTCGCAAAATGGCAACACATTACTGCTGTTAACGCACTTATATTGTTTTTCAAATTGAAATCCAAAATATCCTTATTCCTGTAGGTCTATTACTACTTCTAGTTTTTATATAAAATAATAATAACTGTAACATGTGTAATATAGGGTGTATAAGATATAATTAGGTGGCGGGTACTTTTAAGGCGATATGTTAGATGGAGTCAGTCCGGAATATACGCTTGACGGATAAGCTTGGTTTTATTACACCTCATACATACGGATACGAACATTACAACATGTATCATTTACTGATCGTACATCAAGATATAATATAATTTATCAATATGACACTAATAATACAGGAACTGGAAGCTAATGACTGTGCCTGTTTATATTAATTTTTAATGTAATTAGCTTAGAAATAAGAGCTAATATTTTTATGAACTACATATCTATACATATAAAATTGAAGTGTCTGTTTGTAATATTGAAATAACCATTTATTACTACATGCATATGAATATAAATACGGTACATATACCAAAATAACATTTACAATTTTTGTCTGCCTGTCTGTCGATCTGTTTGTTCCAGCTAATCTGTGAAATGGCTGGACCAATTTTGACGGGACTCTTTTTGGCAGATAGCTGATGTAATAAGGAGTAACATAGGCTACTTTTATTTTAGAAAAATAAAATTAAAGTCACGGGAACAGCTAGTTTATATATATATAATAGCTTTCTGTTCAACTATTTGAAATAAACATTTATATGAATTATAAAAAATAACATAAATACAACCATTCTTATCTCAGAAATGGTAGAGATGTGGTAAATACAACATTTGTCATGAAACTAACATTTCAATGACTTTCTTTAAGAAATTGGAATAAATATATGCTGGTTTTTAGTTCGGAATGTAGTTCTAACTGAAAAACAGCGCTGGAAACTATGTTTCCAACATTATGTTACAGCCTCTGTGGTATAACGGTCAAGCACACCGCTTTACGTCCGATGGTTGTGAGTTCCATTCCTCGCACGGCACAAACATTTGTAGTCATGAGTATGATTGTTTGTATCGGTCTGGGTGTTTTCTACGTATAATATGTATTCACGAAAAAAAAAATATCTATGAATTTGTATCAGTTATCTAGTACACATAACACAACTTTAGCTAGCTTAACTTGGGTCTAGATGGCGCTATGTGAATTGTTCTGAGATTATTATTATAATATTGAGTTGTGGTCAACATTGACTCTGTATGGTAATGTGTGTAATTTTTTTTGTTTTCTTTGTAATTTTTTTAATAACCACAATTTATTATAGAGTTTTAAGTAAGTTTATATTCTTTAAAATATCTTTGATATAATTTCATTTATATTCAATAATGTCCAAAGTAAGTCTAGTTATATGCAAGATCCTGATAGTAAAATTTGATTTTGAAGTGAATTAAAAATATTGATTACATCAACTTGTTAACTATTCAAGTGCTTAAATATTATTTCTATCCCTTTAAAATTCATATTTATCATTCAGTTTGAATACTTACTACACTTCTACATACAATTCAGAACTTTAAAATTTTTTGCTCAATATTTACCACTGAAGAATTTTAAAATTACAACTAACTTAAGTAAAGTGATATAACTAATTTTTCTTTTTCAACTTTTTTTTAAAGAATTTTTTATCAGCCAGACTTCAACCAACTAGCCTTGAAATCGATGTAACAACTAAGCTACACAATATTTTTAATTCATAACTTACATTACATAAACAAGATCTGAAGTTTTTTAAAAACATTCTTCTTTATAAACAGGAATTCAATTGTGATTCTAAATTTAAAAGAAATAGTCGTCTGAAGTTGCTGATATCTAGTGACGGGTGGGACCGGCAGGGCTGTCTTACCTCTTCCAGGAATTTGCTAACATCGTAGACACCGTTGTGTATGATGAGTACCGCATCCTTGCGGCTCTTCCTGGACTCCAACTCCTTGCGTGTGAACAGTTTAACTTGTTCGGCCATTATTTTTTTTAACTTTAATTAAACTGCGCTTTTATGGATCACTGACTACACCTTAAGTGCGTACGATCACAAAATTGTCTGCGTGTTCGGACAGAACAACTAAAATTCACTTTTAAATTTTAGATATTATTTCTGCAATATTTTATGTAGTTGTTGTGTGAGAAGAAAATTATTTAAGAATAATTTTGTATTAGATATAATACGAAAGTACGTCAACACGACTCACTGTACATTGTACCATTCGATATCGGGAAAATGGCAAATTCCAATTCAATGCAACCAATGTTCGGCCGTGCCGTGTTGGTGTATTGTGACATTTCGTTTTGACATTGACAGTAACAGTCGACATGACATAACAGTGTTACCTCCTGCAATAAGAATTGAAGCAATTCCTATACCTAAATTATTATTTAATAATAAATAGTATTTTTTTAATGATTGATAAATGGACAGTGCTCATGCCTGTGCTAACATTATATACTATCAGGGACTAGCAGAGGATATTAAACTGAGAATGAGGTCAGTCAGCTCATCATAGTGAACTCATTTGGATGTAACCGCTATTGTTTCCTGAGGGAACCGTGTGGAGGTCAACCTGAAAGGATAAATTCAGAGTTATTGGGCAATAGTCCCATAACTAATAATCCCTTACACCCAATAGGTATTAATATAATCATGCAGCAAGCATGAAAGATGATAAAATATAAAATGAATAACCACAACACAAGATTTGGACCACATTTTCATTTTGTTGCTACATTAGCAATTAACAGAATATAAAAGAAAAAGAATAAAAAACTTGATACAATATAATTTATTTTCTACAATTTAACAAACTATTTATTTTACTTATATATTACACAGTGTTGACTAACATTAATTATAAGTTATTCGCAATTTATCAGACTTTTATTGTGGAAGCCTCCTGTATTTCCTTTTGTTTGTGTGTTCCATCGCAGAATGGTCTGTTTTTCGTCTGCTTGCAATTGCACAGCCAGTAATCTTTTGTCTTTTCAACTTTAAATCTTATGGGTCTGTAAATAATGATACATTTTAAGGTGTATGTTTTGTAATAGAAATTTATTTGGATAATTATAAAAATTATGTTAAAGAGCAATAAAACAAGGGAAAGTAAGCATAATATGATTTTTTATGTAATACTTGATATTTAGTAACGAGAGTAGTTTCTGCACAAACTAAATATATATTCATCCTCTTATCGAGACACTGAATTCCCACTAATATCTTTTACACAACTATAGTAAGCCGTTTCACCTCATAAATACTTTTAGATACCACCTTCATTCCATTTCACTCCATCCTCAAGATTGTAGTGGCATTAACAAGTGCATACCCAGAAAGTGTATAAATCAGATAGGCTTTCCATAAAAATATAACCTGAAACTTAATACAAAATCACAATATTCACCTTTGTGTAATTTTCAAAAAAACATCTTTATGTACCCCATCACACATGGGCTGTGACTTGGAGCGTCCACACAGACACCAATGGTAAGTTTTGCCAGCTTCCAGGGTCAGCTTGAATGGCTTTCTATCATATACAATACCATTTTCTTTCTGTTGTGCTGCAGAATACACTGATACTAAGGTGTTATTTGGAATTTCAGGCTTAGGTCCTTTGCTCACATATCTCAACTGAAAATTAAATAAAAAATACTGTGTGTGAAATCATTATAATGACAAAAAAAATATTTATACTGCCTTCAGCTTTTTTATTAGTAAATGCACTTTGTGTCAATAATATCCATCATTTACATTACATACCGATCTAACATAAGGTGTTACATTTTTGAAGCCGTATATTTTGAATAACATAGCTGTATTCATTTTTGTTGTAAATATAACCTATACAATATCCTTGTTTTCTTACTGAAGGATAAAATCACAGATCAACAAGGGACGATAAAGTGCTAATCTGTGGACAATTGACAACAGGCATTTAATGACAGTTCGCTTTCAGTGTTGCCACAATTCTCAATACATACGCTAAAAAAAAAGTAAAAATAAAATTTAAAAAGTCATCAAAAGTCAAACAAATGTAGACCTTATAATTTGACAGTAAATATTTCAATATATATATTTCTAATTTCATCATTTTTCTATCCGAACCATAGATAATGCACCTAATTTATTTTGATTAAGTCAGCTGTTTCATTTATTTTATGTATATATTTGTTTAATGACAGCAGTAGTAAAATATTAACAGGGTATTAAAAATAGTTTTTTATATGGGAATAATGGTTTAGATTGTTCTAAGAAATGTCTAGGATTAGGGAAATTGCAACCAAAGCGCAAAACAAAATATCAGAGTCACGTTTAGATGTTAGCACAAATGGGTCCATCAGAAAGAAAACTGAAGACCAGACGACCACGTCGAAAGATGAGAGTGAGTAATAGAAATATCGAATTAAAATAAACTTAATCGTTACCCATTTCGACAAAAATTGTTTACGATTCACTCGTTTTGAGGTTATGTCTATTGTTAAGTAATTTGTTTTAATGGTGAGATACGACATTGTAATTACAGAGTTTTATACCTTTGATTTGAGAACGCCATATGTGATAACGTCATGTCCGTGGTGCTGTCTGTGTGTGATGCTTATGTAGTTTGCTGGGTCTTTTGCCCTTCATTCATAATTTAAGGGCATTTGTCGGTGGAGCTACCGCCACCTTTCACGATCTTCTATCAGTCCTTTTAGCTGTTGATACGACACGACTCCAAGTGCCCCAATATTTTTCCCTGCCTATTCTCAATAATATCTATGATCTGCCTCTTGTCTTTAACCCTTTCAAACACTTCTTTATTCCTTATTTTATCTTTCCAGGTAATTGTTTCCATCCTTTTCCAACACCATATTTCAAAGGCTTCCAGTTTGTCTCAAAAAGTTGTCATAAAAAAATCTTGTATTTCAGAGCGCCAAATCAACGAGTTGCTACATAAGTTACCAAAATTGGATAAAATATTTGAAGTACACCGCAAGATAGGGGAGGGTACTTTCAGTTCGGTGTACCTTGGCTCGTTGCGACAGCATGCAGACCTGCCTGCTACGCAGAAGCGATGGTTTGCCATTAAACACCTGGTGCCCACCGCACACCCAGCACGGGTTGAGCATGAGCTTAGGTGTCTGCAGGATATGGGGTGAGCATTGCATATACACAAATAGAATAGAAAATCCTTTATTCAAATAAACTTAATTTAAGCACTTCTGAATAGTCATAACAATTTTTTTAATCTACCGCTCATTTGGATAGCTGTCTCATCACAGGAGGAATGAGCAAGGAACTTGTGTGTTCCTCCTTAATATGATAAATGATTTCATCCCTCAATGATGCTAAAAAGTTCATATGTTCATTGTAATACCTCCAAGAACAAATGTTCATGAAATCATGATGATCTGTTCAGTAGTTTTTGCATAAAAGCGTAACAAACATACCTACTGTCACATCTATACATATAAATAAAATGGAGTGAATAATGAAATGGTTGGACCTATTTTAACGGGACTATTTTTGGTAGCCGATGTAATAAGGAGTAACTTAGGCTATCTTTATTTTAGATTTTTTTTTATTTTATGAAATAATGTATTAAAATAAATTTCACGCGGACGAAGTCACGGGAACCGCTAGTATAAAATAAAACTACAACAAATTCACAATATGTAACATTTCAGGGGTAAAGACCATGTGATTGGTGTGGAGCTTTGTCTGCGTCACTTGGACACTATAGTGTTTGTGATGCCCTACATACCCCACAGGAAGTTCTCAGTAAGTTAACTAGTCATACACACAGTGTATGAGTCTGAATTATAGATAAAAACATAGAAATATATGTTACAAGTGACCTGTAATATAGTATAATCTACAATACATATAAATAAAACTGTCTGTTTGTAATATTGAAATAACCATTTTTTACTACATGCATATGAATATAAATACGGTACATACACCAAAATAACATTTTTAAAATTTTTTGTCTGTATTGCTTCACCGATTTTGTTGGGACTTTTTATGTCAGGTAGCTGATATAATAAGAAGTAACTTAGGCTACTTTTATGTTAGTAAAAATAAAGTTAAATTCCATGTGGATGAAGTCGCGGGTACAGTTATTTAAGTTAGTTATCTATGTAACATGATTGTCCAGGATGAAAAATAACTTTTGTCCTTCTCCAATACAAATTGATGATAATGATGACATAGCTACAGGTTACATATAACATTAGACTAGGGGGCCCCAGTCCAACGTGGGGCCCTGGGCACGTGCCCTGTCTGCCGAGTGGGGAAGAGGGGCCTGCAAGTGATTTATGTACATATCTGCCTTTTCCTATGAAAAATGTGAAGAAACAGTGGTCCAACTGTTTGTAGGCATTGCTAGCAATGTACCATGTTACGTCGACCTCCACGCGGTTTCCTCTGGAAACCATCGTGATAAATTCCTAGTGAATCTGTCACGATGGGCTAACTGACCTGACTTCATGTTCATCCTATCATCCTCCACTGGTGCCCCGCCAGTGTAAACCGTTAGCGCTGGTGGGTGCACCATTTCATTATCATAAAAAAAAACTGTATGTAGGTCTCAATTATTTACGACAAGTAATTATAAACTATTTGATGAGCAGGAATATGTTGGAGATATGGATGCTGCTGAACTGCGGAGGTACATGCGCGCTCTAATGATAGCCCTGAAGAGGGTCCACTCGTTTGGTGTGATACATCGGGACGTAAAGCCAAGTAACTTTCTCTATGATCGAGAGAATCAAAGGTAAATGTTTGTTTCAGGATCAGAAATTTCATTACATATATTGCTTTCCACATCCTTACTTCCTTAATCTATACATATAAATAAAATTGGAGTGTCTGTTTGTAATATTGAAATATCCGTTTTTTATTACATGTATATGTAATAAATACAGTACATATAGCAAAATAACATTTACAATTTTTGTCTGTCTGTCTGTTTATCTGTTTGTTTGTTCTGGCTAATCTCTGCAATGGCTGGACCGATTTTGACCGGATTTTTTCTGGCAGATAGCTGATGAATAAGGAGTATCTTAGGCTACTTTTATTTTATAAAAATTCTTTAATTTTAGATAAATAAAGTTAAATTCCACGCGGGTGTCGCGGATACCGTTAGTAATATTATAAACTAGCGGTTATTTAAATATTACAAACACACTGTTAGGGAAAATACTCTCTGCTACCAAAATGTTAGGGAAAGTACTATGTATATATATATAGGGAAAAGTATGTGTGGAAGCGTCTGTCACGTACCTGTATGGTTCTGCGGATTTCTTGGGCTTCAGGGTCTCGAAGATATCTTCGCTAGCTTTCCAGTTTCACAATAGGTTTCACAGTAGGTTTAACACAGTTCTAATTTATTTTAATTCACAAGACAATGCGCGCGCGCGTCATGGCCGCTGTACGGTCAGTTCAGTACTAGGTAAGGGAGGGGAACAGAAAGCGCGGGAACACAAACTAACGGAATCTAATATAATAATCTGTGCTTACGATGATACAGGGTAGATTTTTTTTTTTTTTTATTTATTTATTTAGGATCAAAAACAGGTTCACAATTAGGAAACTTATAATTATTTTACATTTTCTACGTACTATGTTATTGTAAACCCAACATGCATGATCACAAATTATATTAAAGTATTAAGATATGTGGGTCGCATACATACTAAACGCATACAAGCTAGTATATTTTCTACTTATAATTATGATGGTGTATATGTAGTTGGTTGAATGAGGAAAAGAGATATGAGATATGTGTGTTACTAAAGATACGAGGAAAAATCATTTGTATGTGCGAATGTGTGTTTGTACATATGAGTGTAGTGTGGGTGTGTGTGTGTGTTGGTGCGCGCGTATGTATGTGTGTACATCAGTATGACTAGGTAAAAAGAAGGAATTATATTATGATTCTATGTGATTATAGTATACATAAGGCTTTAAGTTTATTAATTACTGACCTTCTAAAACCTATATATGACAATTTAAATATATCCAATTCATTAAAGTTATCATTGTACGACTGCAAAATGCGAGTAATAGGTTTACGAATACCTGCATTAGTTCGACTTGCTTTAATCGAAAAGAGTCTATGGGGGCGTGATGTTCTCATTTCAACTCTGGGGGGTATGTTGTAATATATACTTGATGACATATCTAAACAATCATATTTGTTATTACAGATATCATAAAGCAGCATACACTGTAATTGAGAGCGTCTTAAGCTCAAGCTCAGCAATTTATAATGTTTAAGTAGATCATTATAGGATAGTCTTCTACGAAAAAACATAAAATGTATACGTCTGAGGAACTTCTTTTGAACCATTTCTAATTTGTTCTTATATTTATCATAATGGGGATTCCATACGGTCACTGCGTATTCTAACTGTGATCTTACTAATGACTGAAACAGATGAATATATGTAGAACAGTTTCTAAACCTAGTACCTGATCTCATTATGAACCCGTACATTTTATAAGCCTTATTAATTATACTCTCTATGTGTAAATCAAGATGTAGTTTAGAATCAAGAATTATTCCAAGATCCTTGATGTCGTTAACTTTAGTTAGTATTGTATTACAGAGTGAATATGGGTAGTTGCTAATTTTTATTTTCTTTGTAAATGTGATGGCTTTACATTTATTCACACTAAGTTCAAGTTTGTTATTATTGCAGTAATTTGTAAAACGATTTAAATCTTCTTGAAATTTAACATGGTCTTCTATATTGTTAATAGTATAATATAATTTTAAGTCATCAGCATATAAAAGAAAATTGCAATGATGAAAACATGTATTAATGTCATTTATAAATAGTATAAATAAAAGGGGGCCAAGAATGGATCCTTGAGGAACTCCTGAGGTAACTTGTACACATTGAGATTCAAATCCCTTAATAACAACTTTTTGAGTTCTATTAGAAATATAAGACTTGAACCATCTCCAGAGGTTTCCTCTTATACCACAAAAGGCTATTTTTTCTAGTAACATTCTGTGATCGATTCTGTCAAACGCTTTGCGAAAATCAGTATATATGCAGTCTATTTGTTTGTTATTGTCCAGCCCATCAAATAAATAGTTAGTATAAACAAGTAAATTTGTTACTGTAGATCGACGTTGAACAAAACCATGCTGTTGGTTCAAAATTACATTATGGAGACTGGGATATATTGCTTTATGAACTAGTCTTTCGTAAAGTTTTGACAGAGTGGGAAGAATGGAAATCGGCCTATAGTTTTCTACATTCTGTTTTGAGCCACCTTTGTGTACAGGTACAATTCTAGCTGTTTTCCATATCCTAGGGAACATTCCATCACGCAAACATTTATTAAATATGTGGCATACAGGTTTACAAATAACAGCGGCAGTATTTTTTAAGAAATATCCATGAACACTATCTATTCCAACACCTTTACTAATATCTATACTCTTTAAACCTACAAGTACATCCTTCTCTAAGATTTCAAGATTGTTGATAACATTATCAGGTGTTAAACGTTCATCAATGGCGATGTCATCCATATCAAAATTTTCAGGAACAGCAGACTTTTCAAATGTAGATTGAAAAAATGTGGAGAAAGAAGCACATACCTCTTCAGGTGTGTTTGCCTCTGAGTTATTATATAAGACCGAATTGGGTATGTCTGAATTATTTTCACGATTGCGAATATAGGTCCAAAGATATTTACTATTTACTTTCATATTGTCTTCAATATGTTTCATATATTTATTATAACATTGTTCTGACTTCATTTTGAATTGTCTCCTGTATATTGAAAAAACATTATGATTAGATTCCGAGTTGAATTTTTTCATGGTTATCCAAGCACGATTTTTTTTTTCATATAATCTAATAAGTTCAGATGTAAACCAGACAGGGTATTTAAAGGGTTTAACAGTTTTTGTGGGTACATGTTTCTTAATTATGTCGTAAATTTTTTCGTAAAACATACTGACAGCATCTTCTGTATTTAATTTTGATAAGAGGTTATTCCATTCAATATTTAAGATTTCATTACTTATTGTCACATAATTTGCTCTCTCATAACAATATTTAACATATGACTTTGTTGGGAACGGCTTAAAATTATTAGTAGTTGGAATTCTCACCTGTAATGGAGGGTGATAATCGTCTGGTTGAATCAGAAGTAAGGATATAAGTGATATGTCAATATTTAATTTATTACTAATACATAAGTCAAGAATATTATTAGATTTATTTGTGTATGAATTATGCTGGTAACAGTTCAACATTGACAAGAAGTTGGATAAAACTATATGCGATTGATTCATGTCATCAATTATTGGTTGCTGATACGATTCTTTACATTTCCATTGAAGTTTCGGTAAGTTAAAGTCTCCTGTGATAAGAAATTCGGAATCATAATTACATAGTGCATTCTCAAGAAGATTAAAGTACGCTTTGTACGTATCACTACTTTGTCCCGGTGGAATGTAAACAGTACTAATAATATACTTGAAGTTTGCAATATTTATCTGCACCATTAAATAATCTACAAGCGGGGGAAGGGACGTTAAGTCAGCGGCGGGGGGCAGAAACACATTTGTGCATAAGGAACGCAACACCGCTATCAGTACGCCGCCACCATCACGCCGGCCGCTAACCTCTCGATTACGGTCACATCTAAAAACTTGATACCTACAATCAATAAATTCATTATCCGATATTCCACTATGTAACCAAGTTTCGGTTAACACTATAACTTCATAATTTTGTGATAGAATGTTCATGTACAATGTATGCAATTTTGTTCTTATCCCTCGGCAGTTCTGATAATAAACCGATAAATTATTAAGGGTTAAGAATTGTATTTAAAAATCTATTATATTTTAAATATTCATTTTTGTGGGAACTTATGAAAACTACCGATAGATATTTAATAAACCTGATATGCCATGATACAGTATTATTTAGAAAATTGGAGATTCTTTCGCAATATTTATTTGTACATACATAATATAACCTAAGTATATAGCTTACATTCACTATATGTTTGTTACTAAATATTACTAGTAAGTAATATATTTTTCTGATACACTTATGCAGAACAAATACAAAACAATCATAAGTATACACATAAAATAACTTAAATATACAGCCTAAACTCACCATGCATTCTTTACCAAATGTATATAATTTTTTTTTTATTATATACATTCTATAACCATGCAAAACAAGTATGCAATATTTATTTGTACGTACATAAAATATCCCGAGTACATAGCTTACATTCACTACATATTCCTTACTAAATATGAACAATAAGTAATGTATTTTTCTAATATATTTGAGCAGAACAAGTAAAAAGTATTTATCAGCACACACATAAAATATTTTAAGAATGTAGTTTATAATCGCCGTATTTTTTTGACTAAGTATATATAATAACTGATATACATATTTGATACACATACTACATTTATGCAAAACAAGTATACAATTTTTATTTATATATATATGAAATAATCCAAGTATATAGCTTATGTTCAGTATATATTTTTTGCGATAGATACATAATAAGGAATGTATTTTTTTGTAATACACACTACATTTGTGTAAGACAAGATATACGAAGACATATAACTTTTGATTTTGAACACATACACTCCAATTTTATTTGTATGATATATAAAAATAAAATCAAATATTTTTTATAAAAAAGAAAATCAATAAAATATCTAATTTTGATATTTCGTTAAGTTAAAATCAATTAAATTGAATGCGAGCGAAGCCGCGGGTAAAAGCTAGTATGGTATAAAACAGCTGTAATTCTCCTGCAGATATCTTCTAGTCGACTTCGGTCTCGCTCAGCGCCTGTGTCCTCCGCCCGACGAGCCGCAACGGGAGCCCGCGTCGCCGCTCGGGCCTCCGCCCGCGCACTCCAACAATACCCGCAAACGAGTCAGGTGTGAGGTATGTATATCGAAAAGATCGTTTGTAATCATTCATTCATTCATTCATTCATAAACATAGAGACAACGCTCTTGTCTGTGGAGCTCTTGCCACTTTCTAGAATCTTCAGTCATACTCTCTAAGCCTTGATACGACACGACTCCAATTCTGTCTTTAATTTGTTTGATGTAACTGTGCCTTGGTCTTCCTCTCCCCCTCTTTCCTTCTATCTTTCCCTCAATAATTAGTTTCATAAATTCATCGTGCCGTATCAAGTGCCCCAACATTTTTCCTCTTCTACTTTCTATAGCATTCAATATCTGCCTTTTTTCTTTCACCCTCTACAACACTTCTTCATTTCTTACCAGCGAATTCTTCCCATCCTTCTCCAGCATCACATTTCAAAAACTTCCAGTTTGTTGTCCCCAATGCTGTAAAATGTATTCACCACCTATTTTATAAATATTTTCTGTTTTAATTTATACCCTTGGACAATTCACACAATTCCATCTAGTCCCGAGCTAAGCAGAGCTTGTGTTATGGGTACTAGACAACTGATATAAATATTTAGGTATTTTTTTGTTAATACATACATAATGTACACAGAGGGGGGATGGGAATTGTGAGTAAAGGGGATTTATAAGCCCAATGTTCAATGTCAGGTTGCCCGCCACGTGGTTCTCCCTGGAAATCATCGTGGTAAATTGTTATTTGCAAAAATGGGTTAACTCATCTGACCTCATGCTCATTTTATCATCCTCCACTGGTGCCCCGCCAGCGTAAACCGTTACCGCAGGCGGGTGCACCATTCTGTTATCATTTTCATAAAATATACACAGAAAACAAATGCTTGTATTTATCTATATATAGATATTTTCTATTCTGCACTGGTCCAGTTACGGAGACAGTTAAATTTCTACCATACAGAGTCAAATTATATTGAACACTGTATCATTTTTTTTAATATAAATAAATTTCTGTTAACATAATGATTCATAGCATTACGTAGTTATATATTATTTTGTATTTAGTTTACTTTTTATTATATAACCTTATCTAGCGTATATTGTGTGCGTCTATATAATTTATCTTTTAGTCATACATAGTGTTGGATTACAATTCAGTTTCGTACCGAACTACACGCTCCAAATTAGATTATTATATTCATTGTAATCTGTTTTGTATGCTAACAAATAAATATCATCCGACGAAGCGAGCATCGGAAGTGAAGCGAAGTGCCAAGCTATCTACTAGAGTAGAGACGATCTCGCCGACAGGACGAGTCCCCGCCGGGGGCTAAGCGTGTGGCGCTGGACCTGCGGGTGGGCGCGCGGGCGGGGGCGGGGCCGGGGGCGGTGGGGGCGGCGTGCGCGTGCGCGGGGGCGGGCGCGGTGTGCGGGGCGTGCGGGGCTCGTCCGGCGGCGCGGGCGGCGCGCGCGGGCACGCAGGGCTTCCGTCCGCCGGAGGTGCTCCTGAAGTACCCGCACCAGACCACGGCCGTGGACATGTGGGCGGGCGGCGTGGTGCTGGCCAGCGCGCTGACGGCGCGGTACCCGTTCTTCCGCGCCGCGGACGACGTGTCCGCGCTGGCCGAGCTCGCGGACCTGCTCGGCACGCACGCCCTGCAGCGGACCGCCGCCGCTCTAGGTGACACCCAGTTCATGTTCATTATTTTTAATATTTATAGTAATACTAGCTCTCCCGGCAAACGTTGTTTTGCCTTAAAATAAAAAAAAAATTACAGGTGGACCACCCCTAACATTTAGGGGGATGAAAAATAGATGTAGGCCGATTCTCAGACCTACTCAATACGCTCACAAAATTTCATGAGAATCGGTCGAGCCGTTTCGGAGGAGTATGGGAACAAAAACTGACACGAGAATTTTATATATAAGATTAATAACAGGCATTTATGTAACACCATCAAGTACCAAGATAAAGCAGAGCTTGTGTTATGGCTGGATAACTGATATATATACGGGACGGCTGGTCGGCTATATATAATTCAGTCAGTTATCCCAATACAACGGTAGAGAGATATCGTCGTTTCATTTAAAATTAAATAAAAACTTCCATTTCTCCCAAAGAAAACTAAAAATAAACTTAATATAATCAACATATACATAAATGTTGTTTTGTAAATGTATACAGAATATATATAGGAACATATATTTTTGATAATGTATGAGTAACATAAAAATAACATTGTTTAATCCGTAATTAAGAAAAATGTTATACCTATTACATTTTTTCTTAATTTCGGTAACAGTAGAGACGTCTACTTTTTTAAAATTAAAACCATGTTACTTACTGTAAATTCTTTCAATTCTTGTTCCTGACGGGTCTAGGTAGCGAACTCTGAAAAAGGGCGAGCACAATAGATCTATGTAGGTCGCAGTGCTACAGGTGCTACAGTCACCTGTCAATAGCTCAAACAACCCAATAAAAAAAATTGTAAGCATAGCTTTCTAAAATAGAAAAACATTTTTTACTTTAATAAAATTAAATTACTACAGTGGACCCGCGGTAATCCGGCCCCCCTTGTAATCCGACATTGTCTATTATTTGTCATTGAATATTACTTTGACAATATACTTCAGAGTGCATATACATGCATATATAACATACAATCTTGTCACTGGATCTGTAATTTGTCGGATTACAAGATACTCTTTTGTAAAAAATTCCGCACTATAAGCAGGGGACCCTTAAGCAGCACTCTATAATCCGACAAATACGATGGTCCGACACTGCCCTGCAAAACGTTTGTCGGATAACCCGGGGTCCACTGTATATGTACATATATAATATAAAGAATCATCATTAGATCTATAATTTGTCGGATTACAAGGTACTCTTTTGTAAAAAAATTCGGACTATAAGGGGTCTTAGGCAGTACTCTATAATCCGACAAATTCGATAGTCCGACACTGCCCTGCAAAATGATTGTCGGACTACCGAGGGTCCACTGTATTTGGGCGGAGAAAACCGTAAGTAGTAGAAATTATTTAATCGACCGTCAACAAATATGGTGACTGTTCACAGGGCGGCGACTGGTGACGTCGACGTGGCGACGAGGCCTGTGTCTGCGCAAGCTGTGCGCCAGACTGCGCGGCGGGGCCCCGCCCCCGGCCGCGGGCCCTCACACGCCGGGGCCCGGGGGGCCCGCGGGGCCCCCTTGCGAGCGCTGCAGACTGCCGCCGCACCACTGCCTCTGTCTCGACGACGGGTTCAAGGTACCGAACACATTTGTACATGTTATTTACCTGCAGGTTAGTGAATCGACGACGACTCCAAACTAAGTTCCACATTTATAAGCATAACAGTTGGTGAAGTTGAATCACTTTGTATGTGCAGTTATCATTTTTGTTCTTTCTCTTGTAATGAATCTGCATTCCGAATGAGAGGTAGAATCAAAATATGACTATTCAAAAGTGCTTGTAATGAGTTTATTTGAATAAAGATTATTTCTATTTCTATCCATTCTCTTATATTTAATTAAATCTTTACGGTCGAGCATTTTTTAGTAGTTATATTTTTTTCTCCCACTTGCCTTCTAACGAAGTTTGTTTTACCATTTATTTTGTGTGTATAAGTGGCTACTGTCGCTTACATATATGAACAACAGCATGGACATCACTTCAGCTTTTAATACATTGTCCTCGGTAGTCTAGCGGTTTAGCACACCGCTTAACGTCCGATGATTGCGGGTTCGATTCCTCGCAAGACACGAACATTTGTATTCATGAGTATGATTGTTTGTATCGGTCTGAATGTTTTCTATGTATAATATGTATTTACGATAAAAAAATCTATGTATTTGTATCAGTTGTCTAGTACCCATAACATAATTTTTAGCTAGCTTAAATTGGGTCTAGATGGCGCTGTGTGAATTGTCCGGAAATTATTATTATTAATTACAATTTTAAAATTTTTATCAAAGAAGGGAAAATAGACCACAGAAATAACAACACCGAGGGGTTATTGTGATATGATATGATAGCATGAAGTCCTCAAGTGTGGTCGGTGGCAGGCGGAGGAGGTGGTGCGGTCGCGGGTGGTGGCGGGGTTCCCGGACGCGGCGTTCGCGCTGGTGGCGCGGCTACTGGAGCCCGACCCGCGCCGCCGCATCTCCGCCTCCGACGCGCTGCTGCACCCCTTCCTGAGGGAGCCGTGACCGGAGCCCGACCCCCTTTCGTCTCTACCGTTCGTATCAAATTAAGTGACAAAGAACATGCTATGTTAGGTTTTAATAAGTAGACTATAAGGTGCCTTTTTGATTGCACACCGCGCGCTTCCCGGGGCCAATGCCGGCTGTGAATATACATGCTTGTACGGGATGCATCCTTATTTGGAATCCCTTTTTTATTTAAGAGTTGATACTTTGTTATTGTTAAAAGAATGCAAGAGATATTATTGCGACGCGCGTACGATTGTGTAGTTATTAAGTAATGTTTTAGTAAATGTACATTGAAAGGATTCATTATACTGCTCACTACTAACGTTGAATAGAAATTGCAAGGAAAATTCCAATGAAATCTGTAAAACAAATTTGAACCCTCTTTATACTCTTATAGGGAACTAACTGTGCCTGCGACTTCGTTCTATTATGCCCGAGCCCAGTACAAAGAAAATGCTGAGCCTGAATAATTCCCGATTTACATCGTTATATAAAAACAGTTTAGACAGTTAGTCAAGCCAGTCCGCGTCGATAACTCATTGCACTTGCACCTACATAGTTTGGGATAAGTTTGTTAATATAATAACTTGTGAAAACACATTTTCGAAATAAACTATCTGAAATCAAGTGACTTTTGTGTTGTGTTTTAAAAAGGTTTTTTTTAAAACCCAAACGGGGTCAGCCGCCTAACAGTTCGCAAAATCAAAAACACTATCGCGATTATGTTTTAATTGCCCGCGACTTCGTCCACATATTTTTTGGGTAACTTGAACCGTTTACGCAGCGCACGCGACGGAAGCGCTCAAATATGAATAATTTTCCCTATTTATTTATATATTCTTTATTGCACAGATAATAAAAAGATATTATAATTTAGAGACAATGTGAGCAAAGGTGGACTTATCCCTAGAAGAGATCTCTTCCAGTCAACCTTAAACAGTGGGATATGTGGTACTGAGTGGGTAATAATTGGTGCAAACTACTTTTACTAATGCAACTTATGCAACTATTTTTACTAATGCTTCGCTTCTATTTGTCGTAACGTAATGTTATATAGCCTTATCGACAAATGGACTATCCAACACATAAAGAATTTTTCAATTCGAACCAGTAGTTCCTGAGATTAGCGCGTTCAAAAAGTCAAACTCTTCAGCTTTATAATATTAAGTATAGTTTTTGATTTCTATTCGTATTTAAAACAAATCTCTAGAAGTAATACGACCAAGATTGGATTGAAAATGAAAAATGATTTCAAGAATAATTTAATTTCAATAATACAGTGCTAGGATTACCTAGTATGTATAGTAACGCTTTTAATGGCAAAATAATAATGGATCTTTTTCATGTAGACGTTTAATATATCCAAGAGCCTTCCACTCTTGCATTCTTTATTGTAATTAAATTGTCGAGGTGTGTGTCACTCGCACCACGGGACTCGCTGAATACAACTAGGATCTCAGAGCGATACTTATGTTACTCGTATAGTACAAAGAAGCCGGGCCGGGTTAAACATATAGTCTCGTGGAATAGACTAGAAAGCGTCGTGGCTTAGAGGTTTGTATACAGGTCATATTTGATTCTGAGCAGGGGCGGATCGTGAATTTGTGGGGCCCTGGGCTAAATCTACTAAGGGGCATACCTAATTATATTACCGAACTAAAAAAATACACCGACCAAAAACAAGCGACCAGAAATTCCCCGTTGATTAATCTCAGGGTTGCCAACCTTATGATAGGTTTTTTTAACATTCTAAATATTTTTTATATTCTAAATATCGTTTCAATGGGGACCGGGCACCTTTGTATTTGCGGGGCCCTAAGCTGCAGCCCAAAAAGCCCTTAAGTAGATCCGCCCCTGATACTGACCTACACTAAAAAGTTTGTGGTCGAACCAGCGATACAGTCCAGTAAAATTTTGAATTAAACCATGCTGTGGACAGTTTTGGCACAATATATAAAAACAAATACAAATACGTGAATAATAATATTCCCAAAGAAATTTTGATTTATGTAGACGGCAAAGGAATGAAAAATTAAAAAATTGGGTTGAAAAAGCTTTTTTTTTTAAACAACTCGATAACGGTAAGAAAATCTGCACAAAACAGATCTTTTCCACTTTTTCATTATATGCTGTTGTTTATGGTCAAGATGTGGCTTCAAACTGGCCATATCATGGCTTAATTTAAAATTTTACTGGGCTAATAGAAAATAATGTAATGTATAAACTACTAGGTAACCCATCGAGGTCATCAAGCTTTAATCGATGCCTACAATGCTTTACAATCCGGCCCCGCATTTAGTTTTAATTCATATGTAGAAGTAGGAGCCGCCACCGACGAATCTCAAACGTTGGCTAAACGGACGGTTTCCGAAGACCAAGATCTTTAAGAACATACAAGTGCCTTTATATGTGTTCAATGTTTTCTGTTACCTAGTTGTTAATTAAATGAAATGTTCGAACAAAATAATTGTTTTATTTATATTTTCTTTTCTTTGAATAGCTACGTTGCTAATGTAATGAAGTAATTACAAGAATTTATTGTTATTTGTTTGTAGAGTTGGAGCGAGGTCCGCGAGGTGCGTGTTCACATGCACTAAGCGTCGTTTGTTATATAAACCAGCTGCACTTTTTTTTATTTTACTTTATTTGTTTCACTGACATTATTCGTTTTTATTAACATATTGTCTTCAGCTGCGATTTGATACAGCAGAAGTTTTCGTAGGGCTAGGGCATTTCATTTCTTCTTACAACCCTTTTTTCGAATTAAAAAACCTATGTATACCAAATTTCATATAAATCTTGACTTAGTGTCAGACGAGATAATTTCACATTTATAATATTAGGTATGATTTTCTTTAATTAATATGTAGCAACACAGTTTCTACACGTGCCACCATCCACTTCCTAGAATCCTTATCTCACGGCATGTGTACGTTGTTACCTGTAGCTACGGTTAAAAGCAACACGTGTAAAATGGTATATAAGGCCCGAAAATTTTTACAATAAAACACACTTCTATTCTGTCCGTCGAGTCATTGGGTATCCATGTATTATACATATAAACCTTCCTCTTGAATCACTCTACCTACGAGTATTGCTAAAATGTCCATTAAAATCCATGGCGTAGTTTAAAAGATCTAAGCGAAGATACAGCGGAAGTGACTTCATTTTATATTATGTAACGATAATTAAAACACACATTAGACTCGTAGGCCTGTACCGTAGAAACTGAAGTGACTACTATTGTGTAATTTTTTTAAATGTTCGATAATGAAAAAGTTTATATGTTAAATAATAAATAAATTTAGAAATTGCACATCGCCGGACCAAATACCTGCAAATGGATATTTTTAGCTAATATACCGTAATTTTATTACTATTAAAATTATATTACTATATGTCTTTCAATTATTTAGTCTATTAATTACTATAATCGTTAAAAATTGTGTGATTACTAAAAACTATTTACAATAATAAGTCAAACCATATACCCAAATTCTCAACAAGTAGGTCATATACCTTATAGTGTTCACTTATTTGTTATTTATGTCTTCTAGTATGTAAGTTGTTATCGACATAATATCGGCTCGTTAGCCATAGCTACACGTCTTTACTCCGCGGCACTTGTGCAGGGAATCCCTCCCATCTTGAGCACGGTGGCCCGTGTACGCTCGGCTCGAGACGATATATAATAAACTGCTAGTGTTGCCACATACAATACATACCTAACCCTAAAAGAGCGTGTACACACACGACTGTAAAAATAAATAAACCTTTTATCGTGTGGAAAATCTTCTAAACCGTCCTCTTTCCAGAAGGATGACTTATTTAAAATTTGTGCTCGTCACTAATTTTAAATAAGTCATTTTGTGTCAAGTGGATGTGTGGAATTCTTATGCACTAAACAACCACACTGTAACTGTGAACGCATTGCCGCCTTAGTATTCCACCGCGACTCCGAAAAGAAATGGAATTCCGCAATATAACACCTAATTCGATTAAATAATACAACAGTTTAATTAAATTTTATTTTATTAAAAAATATTCTTATTAAGCAGTCTTTCGTAGCTGTTGTGTACCAATAAAAGCTGTAACTATGTAATATAGCTTTTTAATTTCATGCGCGCCACTCCTAACCATAGATAATTCTTCTATATAAAAATTATCTGTCACGTTGTTTGTTCGCGATGGATTCCTAAATTACTGAACCGATTGCAAAATTGCACACTGTCCAATTTGATCCAACTTGAAAGGGGCCGTTCAAGTACGTTACGTGAGCAGACTTATTACAATTATTTACCCCCCATCCCCCTTGTCAGCAAAAGTAAGCAAACTCTTACCCCCTCCCCCCATGCTTACGTAAACATTTTTCAATTAATGTATTGTTCTTTTAGCAAAGACAATGTGAGGGTTGCCATTCGTGTAAAAAAAAGTAAATAACTAGCGATGACGTATTCATCATCTGGACTCCCCCACCCCCCATGTCATCCAAAATAAGCAAAACAAAGACCACCCCCCCCCCTCCCCCCCAAATAGTGCTTACGTAATACTTGAACGGTCCCAAAGGTAGGATAGCTTACGTCTCAATTTATAGTCGCAATATTATTTTATTCAAGAACCTTAGCCACAGCAACGAGTGGCGGGTCTGCTACTAAAATATATAGTACAATCGAATGGAGCTACATCCGTATCATAAAAGCGGCAAAAAAAGCTAAGACTTGCAAATATAGCAATTAGAACTTTGAATGAAAAAAAAAATGATTGAAAGATTGATCTTATGTTAGGCTAAGTTATTATTGCTAGTTTTTTTCTTTAAAGTCAATCTGTCAAATATTCTTTTTCGTTTGTTACAGCATCGAGCTGTAAGAGCCTGCAACAGTTAGTGAAAACTTCCTGAGTATACCCATTATGTAATCTTTAACAACAACATAACATTTTACACATAGTCAATTAAATAGAAAAATGTAATTTTTCAAAATTCAGAGGCTAGAATTGCCTCCTTTTATATAAGTCAATTAAATTAACCACGCCGTCTTAATCATTATCTAAATACATTTAAAATGATATATAATTACTTCTGTGTAAATTTAAAACGTTAAAGGAAAAAATAATTTAAATAAATTTAAATGCTTGTGATGTAAAACATGTACATTTTGAATGCCATTTTTCTATTTAACCGACGACATATAGAAAGGAGTGCCGTACACGAAGTCAGCTATGATATAGTCACAATGTACAATGCTACTACTTTGTCACAATTATATTAAGTTTAGCTAACCTACGACTGCCGCCAGCAGCTTTATATTACAAATTATTGATTTGATTTTAACATGGATATATCTTTATATATAAAAATTACGTGTCACGTAGTTTGTCCGCTAAACTACTGAACCGATTGCAAATTTGATCCAACTTGAAAGGATAGCTTACATCTCAATTTATAGTCGCAATATTATTTTACTCAAGAACCTTAGACACAGCAACGCGTGGTCAGGTGTACCAGTAAAGATATATATATTATAGCAGTGAAATTACAAGGTATAACTGTGCCGGTATTGGTTCTGATGCGTTGCAATCTGACCTGTATACATGAATAGCGCTATTATAAAGAATATTTTACAACGGTCGTTGTAATATTAATAAATTCCCAAGTGTAAAATTATTTAATTCACAACATTGAGACAATTTGCTATACTTCTGGTTAATTTTAACAGTAAAATAAACCAACCTAAACCATTATCAAAATACTCGCATTGTCTTCTAGAAGGAAGTACTTGCATTGAAATTTGCACTAATAATACTTAATATCAAATATCCAGATATTATTGATTTTGATTTATGAATATCCAGACAAAGACTGTATGTGAACTGCATTTATGTTTTATATATATCATATAAATTGGTTTAATATAACATCATAGTATTTCATTATGAAAATATGTCACTTAGAACAATTAATTGAGTCTAATGTATAATTTGCGTTAGTTTCTCCAAAAGTTAGGGTTCTGCTGTAGCCGCCGCTCGAAGTTTTGATACCACGTGTGCAGGGTGTTGAGGGGGATGTACGAGATGCCCGGGGTGGGCGTCATTTGTTCCTGTGTCAGCGAGAATGACGCCACAAAGTTCACTAAATTGTCTAACATTTTTTGAGCAAATGTCACATAATCACTAGCTTGATCTGCCTGAAACGATTATAAATAAGTATTTTTATTTATGTAACAACTTCTATAAGGATTTGGAATAAGAATAGTGTATTTATAAATATAAAATATTTATAAAGGATATTAAAAACAGTGTTATAATTAGCGTAAAATAAAATGTCCCGGCGGGACTGACTCTGTCCCATATTCGAATCGTGCTCCGTTTTTTATTACTAAATCCATCGATCTACTCTAGACAATTTGTCTATTAATAATTCGTCACGGGTAAAATACTAAATTCCGGTATTCTTTTGCTTATTTAAGCGTATGCTCCTTATAGGTTGAAAAAAAACTGGCAACCCTAATTATAATGTAAGCGAATATATAAATGACATATTTTAGTTTTCATGTAATACTAGTTTTTGCCCGCGGCTTCGCTCGTGTTAATTTATCCACTTAGGGGTGGAATTTATCAAAATCATTTCTTAGGGGATGCCTACGTCATAGTAACATTATGCATGCAAAGTCTGAAAGGTTTGCAATTGACAAAGTTTCATACAAACTTTCATCCCCTATTTTATACCCTTGGGGATAGAATTAATCAAAATCCTTTCTTAGCGGATGCCTACGTCATAACATCTACCTGCATGCCATTTCAGCCCGATTCGTTTCAGAACTCCTGCCTGACGGATACGAGTTTAGTCTAAGGGCACCGCTTGGGGTTCGAACTTCGGCTTAGGCCGTCGTCATATCGATCCCCGTTTGAATTGGACGGGGGATCGATTGGAGGGGATATCATGCACTAAATATTGCTACATGTATAAGACATATTAAATAATAATAATAATAAACAGATTAGGCCAACATTTATATTATAGTATATTCACCTAAAAATAGAACATTGTTATGTACTTGGTTTAGGCCCATACATACCAAGATTACCGGCGAAAGTCGAGAGAAAAAATAATAATAATACTAATCTCAGGACAATTCACACAGCGCCATCAAGTCCCAAGTTAAGCTAAAGCTTGTGTTATGGATACTAGATAGCTGACACATATATATAGATATATTTTTTCTTTTTTGTAAATACATACATATTATACATAGAAAACACCCAGACCGATAAAAACAATCATACTCATGAATACAAATGTTTGTGCCGTGCGAGGAATCCGAACCCGCGACCATCGGACGTAAAGCAGTGTACTAGACCGCTAGACCACCGAGGTCGTCAGACCTTTATTATATTACATTCACTTACACTAAAAAAATAGCTATAATCTTGAATAATATATATAAAACTATATTAGTTTCTGGTACATTAATCATGACAACATATATAAATGTTAAAGATCTTTCTTATAATTTTTTTTAAAATCCTTTTTACCATAGAAATTATTATGTTGACAAATGTGATGGTATATGTGTCTATGTGTATAAATAAAGTGAATATCCATCTATCTAACTGCACCTACATTTGTAGGGAGAAAGTGACCTAGTCTAGTGTTAATCGGTTCTCAATTGGATCTATATACAGAACTGGTCGGTAGGGAAAATAAAAAAAAAAGATACTGTAAAAACTTGACGTTCTTAAGCGGCTAAAATGTCCAACATGAATAAATGATTTTTGAATTTGAATTTTGAATCAAAGTGTGTTAATTTTGTACTCAGCATCTGCTATCAGTTACATCCTATGGACAGATTAGTTTAATCTTCTTATAGCATATAAATAGATGCTTATCTTAGTAATCTTATCACCTCTTCCCCATTTTGCATCATCTGGAGATGATGTAACCAGATAGCATTTAGAACTTTTAAATGTAAGAAAATTGTATTTTTGTAAATGGGAAAAAACACCTAAAATCTTGTTTATATTATAAACATGAAAGTTTGTAAGTATGGATGGATGTTTATTAATCTTTCATACAAAAGCTACTGAATGGATTTTGATGAAACTTTACAGTAATAATAATAATAATCTCAGGAAAATTAACACAGCGCCATCTAGACCCAAGTTAAGCTAACTAAAGCTTGTGTTATGAATACTAGATAACTGATACACATACATAGATATTTTGTTTGTAAATACATACATATTATACATAGAAAACAACCAGACCGATACAAACAATCAAAGTCATGAATACAAATACTTGTGCCGTGCGAGGAATCGAACCCGCGACCATCGTAAAGCGGTGTGCTAGACCGCTAGACCACCGAGGTCGTCATTAAGTCAGTAATACAGCTTATATATCAGAATAACATATAGGCTATAATTCAATAAGATATTAAGGAAATTAGGCGACATATAAAGATATATCGTCATAGTCATAGAATACTGACGGATCTGACTATTAATTTAATAGTCAGATCAGTCAGTATTCTACGACTATGACGAAATGTCAAATATGTGTGTGTGTGTGTGTGTGTGTGTTATGTGGATCAGTCAGTAAATAAATATTATTATTAGTGCCACCAAACTAGTCAGTGTATACTTACAACTGACGATGCAAGCAACTGGATATTGGTTTCCGGTTCAATTGATATACCGAGCTGAGCATCGTGACAGATCTTCTGCTGACCAAAGGCACTCATAAACTTATTTTCATCTGAAAACAAGAACAATTTTTTTAAGATTTCCTTAACTTCATATTTAGTATAGGGTGGGAGATAACTAATAATAACAGAACTCAATAAATCTATATATATAAATAAAATTGGAGTGTCTGTTTGTAATATTGAGATAACCGTTTTTTACTACATGCATATGAATATGGTACATACACCGAAATAATATTTTTACAATTTTTATCTGTTTGTTCCTGCTAATCTCTGAAATGGCTGGACTGATTTTAACGTGACTTTTTTTGACAGGTAGCTAATGTAATAAGGAGTAACTTAAGCTACTTTAAGTTTAGAAAATTAAAGTTTAATTCCACATGGATTCCTATCCTGTCTTTATGTCACACAGGAATGAAATATAAATAGGACAAAATGATCATAAATTATATAAGATTATTGGAAATGTAGTAATCAGGGGAGAAAGGAAGAGAATAAGTAGTAGTAACAGAACTCAATAAATACAAAATAATATCGTATACTGCTATCCTGTTTCTATGACCCACCAGCCCCAGGAGTGAAATATAAATAGGACAAAATGATCATAAATTATATAAGATTATTGGAATATAATAATGATGAGAGTAGGGGATTATTAGTAATGGGAGTAGTGATCGATGGGCACACAATGTAGAATGTATGGTTGACCTCCAGGTGGTTGCACCTACAACGATTACGGAATCATGCAATTGGCTGACTGGTTGACTTCTGCTCATCCTATCACCCACCACTGGTGCCCTGCTATACCATTAGCACAATCAGGTGCACAATACAACAGTTTTACTATTTTCATCCATTAATAAATACATCTGATGTTTAGTACAAAAGTGAAATTCCTAACTGTCGAAATGGTGGAGAAAAGTATAAGAAAATTACATTTAAGTTTGATAGTCGGTTAGAAACCTAACTTTAATATAATAATAATCTCAATTAAACTATGTTGTTAATGGCTTTTTTTTATTTTGATAGAATTAGAATGTTCTAGAACTTACCTGATAATTCATGCAATTTCTTAAGATTGGATATTTTAAAAATAGCTGATGGTTTGCTGTTTGATATGTGGCCGAGGAGTTGCCAGTTGGGCGGCGCGGCAGGGTCCGGCCAGCTCCAGTAGACCATCGCGGCGGTACCGAGAGGCAACGGCGCCAGGCCGGTGAGGAACACCACAGCATGGTTAATAGAGTCCACCTCCGGTATCACTATGAGGTACCTCGTCTCTGACAACGGTGTAAAGTCTGTTTGCACCTGCGCGACCAACACACCGGCTTCTCGTAATCACAACTCAAGTATAGGCCATTGGGCAATATGGAATATTCAAGAAAATGCTTATATTTACTTACCAGTCTGCCTGATACTATTAATCCAAACACGTTCGACATTATACAGATATATTCTTAACAATATTATCACAATTTGAACAAGAATACAAGATGTATCACACTAAATTATAGATAATTATATCTTATTGAAAGAATCAACAAAATGTTCAAATCAAAATAAACATAACATAACCTATTTATTTTATTTATTATCTGTTCTCTTAGTAAACGACCACAGACTAATTAATTTTTTGACGAAGATGGCAACTCTTATTAAAATCTGACAGTATATAACTACATTGTAGAAAAAAGGCGGGAAACGTTAAACTTGGCGGGCGCGTTTTTTCTTTTGATTTAAATTTTATACATATTTTTCATTATTTAGTGATTGTGATACTGTATTTAGTTCTTTAATATCTATTATTTAGTTTGTTTATTGTAGTTAGTATAAATAGTTAGCTGTTTTATTGGTAAGTTTTTCGTTTTTTCATTTCTATGGACGATCCCCCCGACCCGGGGGGATTTGTCCCTCCGGCTTCTAACTATGTTACAATTTCATGCGAATCGGGTATGGAAACCGATACGTCTTGTTCAAACCGATCGATAAAACGCAGTCGGTTACAAAGATTTTGTAAAAGTTGTAATAAACGGAGAAGAAAAAATTCTTCAGATAAAATTACAGATTGCCACTGTACAGATGACATAAATGATGGCATTGAAACACAAAAACCTCTCACGGAAGTGATTTTCACTCCACAATCTGTAAATTTAGATCCCCCTCATCCATCCACATCTAAAGAAACAAATGAAAATAATAATATTTCTGAACCAGTAGCAAGGAAAATGTATGAACCCACAGACCATGCCCCATACTTAGTTCATGTAGTAAGACAAGAAAAGTCTCCAAATGACGGTACTACACTTCACCCTGTGACATTTGGTAAATTCCTCAAAAAACAGTATTTTAAAAACATTATTAATGGAAGTGTAAAACGCATTGGACGAAATAAAATTGCATTATCTTTCTCAGTTTACCATGATGCTAATACATTCATTAACCACTACAGTTTAAATGGTCACAAATTACAGGCTTTTATACCAACATTTAATATTACACGTATGGGTTTGATACGAGGTGTTCCGAGTGATTGAAGTCCAGAGGAGATATTATAAAATATTTCTGTTCCTATTGGTTGTGGCAATATACTTAAAGTAAGACGGCTAAATTACAAAGTTGTTGTTGATGGCTCTCCCACTTGGAAACCTTCTCAGACAGTAGTAGTCACATTTGATGGTCAGGTACTACCAAAAAGAATATTCATGTGTTATAATGCATTACCAGTGGAATTATACACTTATCCAACTATACAATGTTTCAATTGCTGTCGTTATGGTCACACTAAAATTCAATGCAGGTCAAAGCCACGTTGTTTTAAATGTGGTCAAAATCATACAGGAGAAACATGTGATGTTGAAGATGCTTTTTGCTGTTTATGTTCAGGAAATCATTTTTCTACTAGCAAATCTTGTCCAGAATTCAATAGACAAAAACAAATAAAGTTATATATGGCTGAAAATTGTATTTCATATGCTGAGGCCTCAAAATTGCACCCTGCTGTTACAAAGTCTTTTGCTGAAGTCCTTTCCACGCCATCAGCACATGGAACATCATTCAGCACTTTAAAAAATATATCTGAATCAAAAACTTATAATGATACTGCTTTTAAACAATCTTATAAAAAAACCGTATTCTTAAAACCTAAATCTCCTCATCCATCCTATGTTGGGTATGATAAAGTTGCCCATGAGAATATTATAAAAGATTTTAATATGCCCTCCCCTTCTAATGGCTGTGCGCTTAACAGTCAGTATAAAAATGAAAGTCAATCTAATATTAAAGAAGTTATTATTTCATTAATCAACTTACTTGTAAGTTCTAATATAATACCGTCCCACGTTGCCCCATTTATAGAAATATTCAAAAATCTACTCCATAATGGATCAAGTAGTCCAATGGAATTGCAGAAGTGTACTTAGCAAAAAAAGTGATTTAATTCATTTAATCAATAAATATCAACAACCACTTGTTATTGCACTAACTGAAACTTGGCTTAAACCTGATTATAATTTCAAATTATCAGAATACTCTTGTATTCGAGATGATAGGCCAGATGGGTATGGTGGGGCTGCCTTACTCATCAATAAAGCTACTCATTTTTCTTCTATTTCTTTACCTCTTTTTGACAAAAACAATATTTCTATGGTTGCTGCTGTTGTCAGCGATATTTGTTTAGTCTCCCTTTATATACCTCGTCCTTCCTCTTCAATTATTGCATATTTAAATGAGTTATTTTCAATTCTTCCTAAACCTTTTTTAATTATGGGTGATTTTAATTGCCATCATCAAGCTTGGGGCAGCTCCTATTCTAATTACCATGGTGAGCAATTGTTAGGCCTTCTTGATTCCCATAATCTGTGTGTTTTAAATGACCCAGTACCTACTCGTATTACTGCTCCCACTGAAAGAAATAGTGCTGTAGATCTCTCTATTTGTTCTTCCAATTTATCTTCCTCTCTATCATGGTCTATCCTTTCATCTGCATATGGGAGTGACCATTTTCCTATTATCATTTCATTACCAATTCATAAAAAACATCCTCGAAAAAGAAATTATTTTTACAAACATAAGTTAAATAATAATAATAATTGGGATAAATTCCAAATTGGTGTACAAAATAAATTATCATCTCTCCCTCCTATTACTTCTGGTAATGAATCGGACTGTTCTGAAGCCCTCAGCAAAATTTTGATACAAGTTGCTGATGAAGTTTTTCCTGTAAACAAACATAATAATAATAAAATTCCTTCTCCACCTTGGTGGGACCATGAATGTACTACAGCTATTAAATCCAGGAAACTGGCAGAAAGATTATATTGTAATGATATGAGTTCAGAAAACTTCACCAATCTATCTGCCCTACTAGCCTCCACCCGGAAACTTTTAAAGAAAAAGAAGTCAGAAGGATGGAAACGTTTCTGTTCTTCTATTTCGCCTCATACTCATCCTTCCCTTGTATGGCGTAATATAAAAAGATACAGATCTGCTTTCCAAGATTCTCCTTTTTTTACATTATCAGAGACTACAGCTAACGAGTTTCTAGATCGTTTAGCACCACCCTACGTATCTCATATGGATCCCATAACGCGGCCACTTTCCACCAATAAAAATATAAACTCTTCAGCTCTTGACAGTCCTTTTACATTTACGGAACTTAAAACCGTTCTGTCTCATACGAAAGATTCATCTCCAGGAAATGACCACATTCCATATTCATTTTTAGCGAATATTAATGATGAATGTATGTTGTATTACCTTAATCTCATAAATTCAGTAATGTTAACTGGGAATATTCCGTCGTCATGGAAACATCACACGGTATTGCCAGTTAAAAAACCCAACAAACCTTCCGATGACAGTAGTTCATATCGTCCTATAGCTCTTTCCACAGTTCTTTTAAAAATTGCTGAAAATTTAGTAAAAACTCGTTTAGAGTGGTATGTCGAAAGTAAAAAACTATTAGCTGAAAGTCAGTATGGGTTTAGAAGGGGTAAAAGTACATTAGATGGAATCAGTCTGTTCGTTTCAGATATACGTTTGGCATTCTCTAAAAATCAGTCGGTAGTTTCAGTTTTCTTAGATATTAACTCTGCGTATGACAATGTCAATATTAACATATTATGGAAAAAGCTTTGCGATTTGAATGTTCCTCCCATACTTTCTAACTTTATTATTAATATTTTGACGGAAAGATCCATTAGCGTTATATTGTCTGATTCTAATATTTTGTCTCGAGTTGTATGGAAGGTCTCCCGCAGGGATCACCACTCAGTCCTCTTTTATATAACATCTATACATACGACTTAGAGTCATATGTAAATCAAAACAGTGAGAAAGTCGTTGTACTTCAATATGCGGATGATTTATTGATGTATTTTATTGATCATTCTGTTCAAAAAGCGTGTTCTTTAATTTACTTCTTTAGAAAAATTAAAATTTTGGATGGATTGTAACGGTCTTGAATTGTCTGCGGCTAAGAGTGCAGTTGTTCTGTTTTCTAGAATGCGAGTTCCACCCCTATAAATATCTGTTACAATAATCAGTGTATCCCAGTAAAGACAAAAATAAAATTTTTAGGCATAATTCTCGATTCTAAATTATCTGGTTTACCACATTGTGAATACGTTTCAGCTAAATGTGAACGACTTCTTAATATTCTAAGATGCCTTACGGGTGTGTGGTGGGGATCCCATCCATTTCAATTAAAACTAATATATAATGCTCTCATAAGGAGTGTTATGGATTATGGTACATTTATTTTGGAACCTGCTAATGCTACAGCCCTAAAAAAATTGGATAATATTCAAGCTAAAGCTCTAAGGATTATATTGGGCGCCATGAAATCTAGTCCCATTAATGCGATGCAAGTAGAATGTTGTGATCCTCCATTGTATTTAAGGCGTCAGTATTTATCTGATAAATTTTTATTTCGTATTTTACAGTTTTCTAATCATCCTCTGATCCCTAAATTGCAATCGCTCTCTGATCTTGTTTCTTCGTCATCCTATTGGTCTCATAAATCTCTACCTTGCTTAGTAAAAAGTTACAGAACTTTTACTGCCATCCGAGCTCCCACTCATCGATCTCCCTGTCTTCCATTATTTAGTTCAGCATATGAATCTTTAACTTTTACCCCTGATGTTCATTTTGATATTAACATAGAAAAAGAACATCCTAATGTAAATGCAATGTTTAATCAAGTAGTAAACTCTAAATGGGAAAGCCATCATCAAATTTATTGTGACGCATCGAAACACTCACATACAGGAAATGTTGGTGTAGGAATTTACCACTCACAATATCATATAATTCAGAAAATTAAATTTCCACCAGAGACCTCTGTTTTTACTGGTGAATGCTATGGAATTTTTAAAGCAGTAGAATATATTAAAATTTTTAATCTTAAGCAAACTGTTATATTTACGGACTCTAAAAGTGCTCTTCAAGCTCTAATTAAATGTCCATTCAAATCATCTAAACAGTATCCTCTAATTTTTGATATCCGAGATATGTTGAATAGCATTCGTCTCAAAGGACATATTGTATCTTTTGTTTGGATTCCGGGTCACTGTGGCATTCGGGGCAACGAAAAAGCAGATTTGCTTGCGAATGAAGCTATATTATCTGGAGATCTATTTCCTTATAAAAACTTTTGCCATGATCTGACTGCCTTGTCTAAGTCTTGTCTTCATGATTCATGGAGTCAAGATTGGACAATAAGTAGCAAAATTAAAGGGAAACAGTACTGTTTAGTCCAACCGTTTATAGCTCTTAAACCGTGGTTTTTCAAATTACATCTTGATAAAAGATCAACTAGTGTTTTGATTCGTATGCGAATTGGTCATGTTTGCAGCCCTGAACATTTAACAAAACTACGTATAAAAGACAATAATATCTGTGAATGTGGAGAAGATGTGGGTGATCTAAATCATATTGTGTTTTCCTGCTCCTCTTACGATCGTTCTTCATTTATAGAGACACTCATCTCATTAGAAATTCCTTTTCCTTCATCCATTGTATGCCTATTAGCTCATCCTAATCCTATAATTTATAAATCTCTTGCGTCTTTTATTTCCCATAATAACATTAAACTTTAAAACCCATGATCACTAATTCCGAGTATATTCAAAATTTAACCCGTTCCTTTCCATTATCCCGTCTCGTTTCCTGTTTTTAGTGGCATAATAGGCAACACTAGCCTCTTGCCAAAGAAGAGAAAAAAAAAAAAAAAAAAAAAAAAAAAAAACTACATTGTACATACTGTGGAAAAATAATATTAACGTATTATTACTCAAATTGTACTGTCTAAGTTTATATACTTTATTTCTAAATTTGTTTAAATTTTTATGTTATGCATATAAAAAATGTATTCGACTGAAGGACTTCTGTCCGTGGTCATGAATAAAGCATTATTAAAAAAAAATCTTGCTGATTTGTGCTATGCTAACGTCAAGATAAAACTACAAAAAAATGTAAGCTGCAATCGATCACGCACACCGAGATTTTTTATACTGTATTCAGTTTTCTGTACTGACTGAAGTACCTAAGCTAATGTACGATAAGGATGATAATAAAAAACATTATATGCCTGAGAGGCCGAAAGGTCTTACATGCTTGAATTATATGTTTGATTTCATATAGGTTAAATTATAAACACTACGTAAGGTTATAATGGGAAAACAGGTGCATCTGACAACCCGAATCCCCAATGATAATTTTTGTATCATGTTAGGGAATTATCCTGGATATTTTCTGGCGAATTCGCCCCTATGGGCAAACTGACCAATTTTGTGTTTTTTAATGGATCATATGGAATGCTGTTCAATAACACAGTAACAATAGGCGCGGGCGGGGCATCAGCCGAGGATGATAAAATGAACATGACGTCGGATCAGTTATCGCGACAAATTCATCAGGAATTTATCATGATGGTTTCCAGGAGGAACAGCATGGAGATAAACCTTACATTGTCAGCAATAGGGTTAACAGTCCACATTACTAGCAATCAGTTCCCTTATCTTCATGTTTATCCTATCATTCATCACTAGTGTCCCATCAGACCATAAGTAGTGGTCTCACGCTCTCAGTAATAAGTTCGATCAGGGCGAAATTAGAAACTTCGTCGATTTTATTTTCGACTGACGGAAGCACCGATAACAATCCTACCTATGACTACAACGTTTGGGTAAATAGCCGTGAAGGTGTATGATCTATAAGAATCTTACTATATTTTCTTTACGAAGTATAAAATAAAAAATAACTTCCGTTGTCTGTTCGCTTAGATATTTTAAACTACGAAACGGATTTTAATGTAGTTTTTAGCAACAGATAAAGTGATGAAGAGGAAGGTTTATGATTCTTACGACAAAGCATCGCAAATTAAACCATACAGCGGAGAAAATAGATCTGTTTTCTTGTTCTCTGAATGAGTTCACGAATATCGCTTAATCTATTCATCAGCATTGCCTTGCCTTTATCCCATTACTTGTGGTCGGCGCAGTATGTCATTCTCTTCCACTGCTCTCTATCGGTCGTCATATCTGAGCATACTCTCCTTTTATTCATATCATCTTTCACACAATCCATCCATCTTTTTTTAGAGCGTTCTCTCCCTTTCTCTCCATCCACGTTCATATTATATATTTTTTTTAATAAATACAGATAAAAAAAAAGATAACATACTGAAAGTATATATTTAGAAAAAAATTATATACTGTCACTATATCTATAATACAACTAATTAAAAAAATAATGTTTTCTACACTACTGTACTGACTGCTAAGACCTGTATCTGTAAGCGTGGAAATAAAATAAAAAAAAAAGTATAATACATGTATACCTGAAGCCAGGGGTAGCTAGTAAAATTTAATATTACGATAATCCTTGACTACCAAGACGAAATCGGGGCGAGCTCGTCAATAGATAAGATTAAAGATAACAGGACACCTAACAGAGGTCACACCGTAAACGGCAATCACACAACAAGTAGACTGCTGAAATATAGTTATAATTAAATTTAAATCTTTACACCAATAGTTACTATAAAGTGTAATGATTAACAACAGTAAACAGGAACATAATAAATTAGTAAAACATAAAAATGGTTAATAACAATGTATGTGTGTAAAAAGCGAAATATAAATCAAAATAGGTATATTGTTTTAGTAATTATTATCTAAGAGCATGTAACACGAGGCCCAACTCTGTAAAGACATACAGGTACCGAAGAGGTCCTTATAATGATAAGGAATCTAGCGTGTTTATAAAACTGAACATCTTGAGCGGAGGAGAACAGAGCGACCAGTCGCTTCACATTTATGAGGTCAAATCAAACGTTTTACTTATAATTATATCGACACATGTCTTTTAAGATAGTACATATTTTTCTTCTCACTTCTTGCCTTAGGCTATTTCGAATGAGACATTGTGTCATTTGCAGTTGCTAGTGTATATAAATAAAAGCATAAATGCAGTCAATTACTCAGAGAGCAGCGCGATAACCAACCAACTATAAATAGATAAACGTACCCGCGTTAGATATGAATTCCGTTTTAATGATAAGAGGAAAGCAAATACGCAACGAGTTGACATAAACCAGTCCGAATGAACCATTGGTACGGGCCGCGGGTCAGCGCAGTGATATCCACTTATATAAATACAAAATGAAAATCTATGCAATATAACGGGCACAAAACGACTACAGCACTGCACCGCCGGGGCAGGTGAACAATATTTATCATTTTATTAATCAATCTACATAACATATCCATATCACTTTAGCATGTAGGTACGAGTTTCAATTATACTAATAATTTTGACATCTTCGTCACTTAAATATTATTTTAAAATTTTCAACTGCGTTACATCCGAAAGTAGTCAGTGTCAGATTATTAAATAATAAATGTTGTTACAAGTTGTAGTGGAAATAATATTCGACAATATGGTTAGATAATCATACATTGACATTATTGTGTACAAAAACAGATTGTCTCACAATGTTTATAGCTTATTTCATAAACTGAAATAGTAAACATTTCTGTGACAGATATACATTTAGTGTAGCAGTGAATTAACTTTACAATCCAGATAAACAATGGTATTGTGTCCACACTGACTACTGTCATCTCTCTACCAACACAACACAACATTCTAGACAAACAAGCAAATATGTACTACAATAATTTATAATAACTTATAGTATACTATTTACTAATTAACTATTATTGTACTCATAAATTTATGAAGTGATGTTTCCAATGCAACTGCCAATAACTGGATAATTAGATATGATCTTGTAATTTTCGTCACCAGTCCCGCACATGTCGGGTGTTTATTCCCTCATGTAAGGGTAGTCGATGTCTCTTAGTGGGACGAAGGTCTCTTTGATGGACTGCGGTGTGGTCCATCTCATCACATAGATGGGACCACCCGCTTTGTCATTGGTTCCCGACATTCGGCCGCCTCCGAATGGCTGCTGGCCCACAACAGAGCCTGTCGACTTGTCATTGAGGTAGAAGTTGCCCGCAGTCGATTTTAGTTCTTCCAGTGCTGTTTTAAGGAAAGCTTTGTCTTGGGCAAACACAGCTCCTGTCAAAGCAAACTTAGTAGATGAGCCTACAAGAGATAGGGTTTCCTGCAGGTCTTTGTCTTCATACACGTAAATAGTGAGAACGGGTCCAAAAATTTCTTCTGTCATCAGTTTGTCAAGAGGATCCGTTGTCACAATGATAGTGGGCTGAACGAAGTACCCCTTGCTGCCATCAAAGTCTCCTCCACCAATGATTGTGTTCTTGGGATTATTTTTAGCGTTCTTGATGTATCCTGTTATTCTAGCAAATGCTTTGTCATCAATCACAGCACCTGTAAAGATGCTAAAGTCGGATGGGTCACCAATTTTAAGTTTTGCCCTTTCTCGCAGCAAACCTTCCTTGATGGGTTCATACAAAGATTTAGGAACATACATTCTGGAGCATGCAGAGCATTTTTGTCCACAGTATTCAAATGCTGATCGAATAGTTCCCGATACAACTGATTCCACATCTGCTGATGGATGAATGAAATGATAATTCTTGCCTCCACATTCTCCAATTAATCTGGGGTAGTTACGGTACACTTGCAGATTTTTACCTACTTCATTCCAAATCCAATTAAATGTAGGAACGGAGCCGGTGAAGTTTACTCCTGCCAAATGGGGAGAAGCTGTGATTGTACGTCCAAAAGTAGGGCCATCTGCAGGAACAAAGTTAACAATGCCAGGAGGCAGTCCAGCTTCTCGCATAATGTTGAAGATACGCCAGTTGGACAGAACTGCAGTATCTGATGGTTTCCACAGTACTCCATTTCCCATTAGAGCAGGGGTGTATGCTAAGTTACCACCAATAGCAGTAAAGTTGAATGGACTGATGGCCGCGATGAAGCCATCTATGCCACGGAATCTAAGAGAGTTGCGGGTCACCGAGGGGTCCTCAGAAATTGGCTGATACTTGCTATTTTCTTTCAAAAAGAATATGTTGAATCGGTAAAAATCAATGAGCTCTGCTGCCGAATCTATCTCAGCCTGTATCACTGACTTGGACTGGCCCAGCATTGTTGCAGCATTAAGAGACTGGCGGTACGCTCCTGCCATCAAGTCGGCAGCCTTGTTCCAAATGCGAACCCTTTCTTCAAATGGTGTTTTGTCCCAAGTTTTTTGGGCCCGGACCGACACATCAATGGCCTTCTTGATTGTGCTCTCACTAGCGTAGTAATACTTGGCGATTTTACGGGAGTGATCATGGGGCATCACCTGAAAGCGCGGCTCACCATCTCTGATGTTCTCATCTCCAATAACGATCGGCACTTCCTCGGTGACTCCGGAGGCGCGCTGCAGCTCGTTGGCGAGCTCGGTGCGCTCCTTGCTGCCTTGTTTGTACCCGAGGATCGGTTCATTCTTGACGCCGAAGTCCTGGAACTTGGGAAGTTCCACTACACTGGACATGCAGCGCTCGAGGGAGCGCGCGCTGCGCAACGACATGGTGCACGCGTTCAACATGTCGCTGGATGCTTGACAAGTTTCGTTCGCAAGAATATAACTCTATTGGATTTCACTGTTGCAAGGAACAGCTGTTCGTGAATTGTGTTACGTAAACGGGCGACCCTACCGACGTCGACCGCTAGAGCGAGCGAGACACTCGCACCAGTGGCTAGTATTAGTAATAATTGGCAACAAAGCGACAAACAATGACCTTCACACTTGTTCACATTTTCTGTTGAATCGAAGCGAAAAAACTGCCCAACGCAATGTCTCAGAGATTTAAATTATTTCTGATCGTGTTCTTTCCGCTACTTGACGCAGCACATAATAATTTTATCAATAATCCAACTCACGGCGGGTCAGAATTACGTAAATTTCTTTGTTTTGATGTATTTTTACTGTGACCTCGGTGCAGGTAGGCTATTTTTTTCAGAATCTATATTGGCTCCGCTCAGCTGACTGACGTCTGTCATTTTGTTTCGTCACTTGATCACCTCCAAATGAACCATAGACACTTTAAGATGCAGTTCTCTTAAAACGATCTCACGTAACTGACTGTCGCAGACTTTTCTACGTAATGTTTAAATTAAATATAATTAGATTACGTACTAGTCATGCTATCTCTAATCTCTATATGACAATGATTGCATAAAAAACTATTACTTTACAGGTAATAAAGAGATTCGCATTTTATCTAATTGTGATTTTGTCTACTGTATTTATGAAATTGGACAGACTACGTAATTGCAGACTCTTTCTCTTCATTCGGGAACTACACATTATAAAAATTTTCATTATGCCCTAATTCATGAAGATATTAAACATTTCTTGGTATAATTGACAATAATTATTATTGATACTATATCGAAGTAGGTAGGTAATTTTCATTTCATTTATTAGTATATTCTCAGGATAATGGTTAAAAACTGTAATTGTTACAGTCGATGCTATAAATACTATAAATGACGTGGTGGAGTAACTTGAAAAAGTCATGCTATAAAGTTCAAACTTGTGGCTGCGTGATGGGCCGAGTCAATGAATTTCCTCTAATATGGTTAAGTGCAATGATGGCTGGCTCATTAGTCATACTCGTGGATGGGTCTGCTTATGGGGACTGGTCTGTCGGCTACGAACACTGATTAGACTATTTGCTTTAGCAGTAGCATATGCTCGTGGTCACTCTATTATCTCAATTTGAATTTAACAATAAATCTATATCATTGTAAACATGTCAACTCAGCTCGAAAGTACACGGAATTGACGGTAGATTTTGTTGGACATAAAACTCCTTTGTTATATTGACATATATTATTTGTATATAAAAAGAGAAAACATATTAATAAAAAAAGGACGACTGCGAATAAAATGGTGTTTCCTTATTTGCCCTCTGCATATTAATTCGACCTGCTCCGTGCCAGGATCGACCTCGTCCTTGTCCATATCTTTGTATGTCTTGTTTATTATACTGTTCTTGTTGATTTTTCTTACATTGAAATGACTTATGACCTCTTTTTCCACATGTATAGCAGCAGAAGATTTGTTCTGAAAGTATATCTGTCTGTTCTTTAGTTTCGTACTTAATTTCTGCATCTAGTAATCTTGCTTTGACGAAATCTATGTTTATTTTATTTTCTAATGACATTGTTTCTATTGAAGTCATAATTCGAAGGCATAGCGGATAATAGGTAGCATATCTTATCTTCTTCTTGTAAAGTACTGCCTATTCCGTTTAGTTCTGTTATTAATCTATCGAATGTCATGAAGAAATCTTGCAATTTTGTATCTGATGTACATTTTAATGTGATAAGTTTTCTTTTTAAATGTAATTTATTAAAAATACTTTTCCTTTCAAATTGTCTCTCCAAAGCGGTAATCAATTCTAATGCGGTACTACAGTTTCTTATAATTTCTAAATATTTATCGGATATACACTGCACGATTAAAAATTTGGCTGTAATGTTACTGTTTTTAAAATATTTGTCATTCTCACCATAATAATTTTTGTCAACTGTATGAATGACTTCTTTTTCTTCTAAAAGCATCGTTAGTCTGAATTTGCAATCGACGAATGAATTGCCCTCCCGCAGGATCGGCAACAATTTTTCCATTTTTATTTCAATTTAGTTATTTTATTATATTTACTTTTATTTCACTTTTTTTCATCATAATTCGTGGGCTGCGCAGTGGAAGCGTGCTATGGGAGTGTATGGTGAAGTATATTGTAGTACAATACCTTTTTGCCGACAGTAGTTTTTGAATCGAGATGATGTAAATTCTCCACCATTATCTAGTCTTAATTTCTTCGTTTTAAAACCTAATTGTGTCTTTACATATTTAATATATTGTATTAAATTTTCTTCCGCTTCATTCTTTTGTTTTAATAACTTTAATGTAACAAAATGAGAATAGTCATCAACAATTACCTGAAAATATTTTTCTCCATTAATATTTGCTGGTCCAATATGTCCACAAACATCGGAATGAATCAAATCACCAATTCCTTTTGAATAACTTTTTGTTTCATGAAATACTCTTCTGGTACTCTTACCTTCAGTACAGCTGTCACATACTTTATTGGATAACGGGAGCCCTAAAATTCTTGAACCTTTTCTATTCAAATGACCTAATCGCCTATGCCATAATGAGGCAATCTTGTCATCTCTTTCACTCAACATACATTTATTTACACATATATAAAAATTTATTATATATAAACGTGACTTTAATTGACCTGTAATTACCTTTTCTCCGTTATATATTGATACAAAATCTTCATGAAATTTTATTTCAAATTTCTTAGATAAAAGCTGTCTAACTGACAATAAATTATATGACAAATTCTCTACCTACTATTAAACATTGAATAGTAATATTTTCATTTTGACAACTGACATTTATTTTACCTTTTTCTTTACTTGTTAAATATTGGCCATTTGCAACATAAATCTTTATTTCTACAATTTCCCTAATATCGTACATGAAACCTTTATAAGAAGATTTTATCACATGTTCAGTCGCTTCTGAATATATAATAAATTATATTGTATTATTGTTATTAACATACCTATCGTAAGAGTCTGTAATGGACCTACATGAATAAAGATATTTTTGATTTTGATTTTGGATACAAATTGAATAGTCAGCTGAAAAAGTATATTTAATGTAATAAAAGCATTTTCAAAATTAAAATATAATAATTTGTTATGACACCTTACACAGCGAAATGTAGTCCTGAGCTAAGCAAAGGTTGTGTTATGGATACTACACAACTGATATAAACAAATATATTATATGTTTCTTGTAAATACATACATAATATACATCTAAAACAGAACGATACAAACAATCATGCACATCAAACAAATGTTTGTACCATGGGACGAAATGTAGCCGCGACCATTGGAAGTAAATTGGTGGGTTAAACCGCTAGACCTCCAAAGCCGTTAAAAAGGATTAATAATTTTTACTGCTACGTTGATTAGTTTCATCATTATATATTTATCTTTGTAGTATTTATTATTTGGTTCAGTATATATTTATGTTGTTTTTTTATTAAATTTATTATTATTATTGTATATATATACATAGGTATATATTAATATATTGTATCTTTATTTATAATAAATTATTATTTGCATTAATTTCATCCACTCAACACTTCCTATGACACGCTTAATAAATAATGGGTTGACTAGAAGAGATCTCTTTTAGACATAAGTCCTCCTTTGTTAACTTTACTTCTAATTAATATATCTAAAAAATGTATTTAAGTGCAATAAATAATATTTAAACAATTTTCGTTTATAAGAAAAAGTCGTTTTAATGAAATCGCACCTTACAGATTTTTTGTGATTTTGCGCATGTCTCAAAAATGACCTACTTTTTGGGCGCAGGCGTACTCCATACTATAGAGCATGAATAAATCTATGTATTTAGCTATAACATTATGGTTACATAATGTTTCCGTAATATTACTACAGAGTAGAGGTCAATTAGGGCAACATTAAATTACATATTTTAGCATCAGCTTTATTGTGGATCTTGAAAAAAAAAATTTGTGTATTAACACGAGTTAATACAACCATAAAATTATAAATGAATTATAATTCAATGAAAAAAATAATAGTTATACATCTTCGTATCTTTATGATGCATATGCACGCATGAAGTTTATAGCATATGTTATTGTAATGTATAAGATATATAATAATAATAATAATAATATTCTTCACCCAGCACAACCTCTCCCACATTTGGCTAAGGCCCGTGTAGGTGAGTATTACCTTCTTTTAAATCTATAAAAGAAGAGAAAAAACAGGAAAAAAAGAATAATAATAATAATCTTTATTTGTCTCAAATAATAAACTAATACAATTGCTGCTTATAATAAAATTTAAAAGTAATAAACGAGATGAAACGGTCAATAACTCAGAGAGGGCAGTGACTCCATCCTCTCTGCTATTCCGTTACAGCCTTTATTAGTAAATTAATACAATAAAGATCGATATTATAAGATATTACCGTAGTTTCATTAAAATCCGTTCAGTAGTTTTTGCGTGAAAGAGTAACTAATATCCATCCATCTATACACACAAACTTTCGTGTTTATAAAATAGTAACATGTTAATATAATAATAATATGTAATATTATGTTATCTGTGATAATAATAATCTCAGGACAATCCACACAGCGCCATCTAGACCCAAGTTAAGCTAGCTAAAACTTGTGTTATGGGTACTAGACAACTGATACGAAAACATAGATATATTTTTTTTATAAATACATACATATTATACATAGAAAACACCCAGACCGACACAAACAATCATACTCATGAATACAAATGTTTGTGCCGTGCGAGGAATCGAACCCGCGACCATCGGACGTAAAGCGGTGTGCTAAACCACTAGACCACCGAGGTCGTCCGATGTTGTTGATGTTTCTTTATGTGACTGAATTAACTGAAAAGGAATTTGGCGCGTAGACTACATCCGTAATTAGCATAGATAATTTTGTCTTATTTTAAGTAGGTAACGAGTACCTAGTGGATATCTATATACATCTTTATAAACATAGAATTGTAAACAAGTTAATAACTATGTGCCAATAGTCGCTTATTCAAATAAAATTCAAATTCAAAATATCTTTATTCATGTAGGTCTATTACAGACTCTTATGATATGACAAATCTACCGTCAGTACCGTCGGAATGATTTCGTGATGAGAAGAACTGACAAGAAACTCAGCTCGTATTGTTTTCAAATAAATGTTGTAATTCATTTTTAAATTCAAATTTGTATTATTGTATTATTAGTATTGTACTATTGCAAAAAACAAAATTTGGGAGAATAGAGTGACCAGCAGCATATGCTATTGCAAAAATAAAAAATCGAATCATTGTTCCAATCAAAAAAATTTTTTCATTACAATTACCTTACATCTACCCAAAAAATATTCCAAATATTCAAT